TATTGCATCTGAGGAAGAATCAAAGCACTACAGATAAATTTATTTAAAGGATTTTTTGTGATACTTGTGATTAACCAGTTTTACTTAATAGCATACATAAACAGGAACTTACATATTCATTATACTTTATGTAAAAATATTAATGAAGCATGGTTTGATTTAGCAAATATGTAATAATGCTGGATAGAAAGATGAAGAACTTACTTTATTTCGTGGCCTGGGGTTTGTAGCCTTCTTCTGGTAGAACTCGTGGAGGGCTTGAAAGCCGATGTGAAGCTGCCCAGGACGGTCAAACTTGGCGAAGTCTGTCATTAAGAACTCGGGCTCGGCAAGAGACTGCCTTAAAGATTTCTGAATTTATAAATGAAAAAGTACCATCTATTAGTTCAAAAAGTATAAGAACAACCGATATCACTACTATTATATAATTATTAAAATTATTCTATTTATTACATATTCTAATGTTGTCTAATTCTTGAGTATATAAGGGTACATTGTTGGAATGAAATTTGTTTCAGTCTCTTGCTCGGACTCGGCAAGAGATTGCCTTAAAGATTTCTGAATTTTTAAATGAAAAAGTACCATATATTAGTTCAAAAAGTATAAGAACAACCGATATCACAACTATTATATAATTAATAAAATTATTCTATTTATTACATATTCTAATGTAGTCTAATTCTTGAGTATATAAGGGTACATTGTAGGAATGAAATTTGTTTACGTTAAATATGGTACATGTTAAATATTCATATACAATTACGATTATATTATATCTAGGTAAGTGGAGAAGACTGCAAATTGTGTATGACTATTATTGTTTCTACTAGGAAAATAATGTGAAATACTGTGACTCCAATGGAAATAAGCTAATTTTTAAACTTTCTTGGAAGTATGATATATTTGGGTTTTTTTTTCTCTTATATTCTACTTTAAATCTGAATGAACTGAATAAATCTACACAATATAATTATGAGTATTCAATAAAGCATAAATGCCCATATATAGTCATTATATACCTATATATGGTCATAATGTGATGTCGTTTATTACAAAATTTGATAATGTGCACAGGGATTAATGCAGGGAAGTGACAGAAGCATTAGATGTATCTGTATGGACTTACAAATGAAACTTTGCTAGGCATTTTGACTTCTGTAACAATACCACCTCTGGTGTAATTCGACAGGTTTGTGGTATCTCCAATACTGAATGAATATGGTCCTAGCACCTTAATCTTGCGTGGCTCGCACTGGTTAAGCTCTACCATACCCTAAGACAATTAAAAAAGTACAATAAGTTGTAGAGTTACAGTAGTAACATATATATCATGCAATTTATATATAGTCTGTCTCTTATACACATCTAGATGTGTATAAGAGACAGCCTGAAAAGGTAGGCCTAGGTCTATTAAAAAAAATTTTTCCCG